GATTTATTTATTTGACAGAGAGAGACACAGTGAGAGAGGGAACACAAGCAGGGCGAGTGGGAGAGGGAGAAGCAGGCGCCCCGTGGAGCAGGGAGCCCGATGCGGGGCTCGATCCCAGGACCCGGGGATCATGACCTGAGCTGAAGGCAGACGCTTAACGACTGAGCCACCCAGGCGCCCCAATAAATAAAATCTTTAAAAAAGAATTCTTTTAAACTCAATTAAGAAGTAGGCAAATAGTCCGAACAGACATTTCTCCAAGATATGCAAATGGTTCACGAATACACACAAGAAAAGACACTCAACATCATTCAACAGGGAAATGCAAATCGAAACTCCACGGACTGTTACACCAGCGTCGGCATCTCTACCACAGGTCCCTGGTCCACAAGGGCACTCAGTAAACACGGGAAGAACTCATCAGTGGACAAAGGGGCCTGGCAGACAGAGTTTCTCTCCACAGGCCATCCTGAGATGAAGAATGTGACTGTGAGCTCAGTAAAAGCAGCAGCCTGCTCCCTAGGAGCAGCGCTCACCCAGGTGCGAACCGTTAGACAAGGCTTCAGGCCTTTGAGGAATCTGTGTCCTAGCAGTAATCAGACCAACATCTGGAAGGAAGCGGCTAGTACTTTTGGTTTCCCTGGCAAGACCTCTTAAGAGAACCATCCATGGAGAAACGATGTTTCTCTGCTCACTCGACTGAAGTCCCACGGCTGGGTGAAAACCCAGGGCCCTGCACAACAGGCAGCTCAGGGGACCGCACATGCCCGTCTGTCCTTGGCGCATGGGAAACCTTCCATCCAGAGGGCTGAAGGTGCCAGGAGTCCTCCCACCCATCTCAGAGGAAGGCTCGCTCTGAAGGCCTGCTGCCCGAGAGTGAGCAGCAGGAAGGGGAGGTGGCTTTCTCCCTGACTTACCGTCCAAACACCTGTTGTTATACTTCTTATATGCAGTAATGGCATCGTCCTTCTTCACAAAGACCACCTCTGCTACCCCAGGATGGACCAGCCGAGCCCTTTTGAGGGCTCCACACACACAGAAAAGCTCCTGCAAACAACAGGAGGGGTTGGGGTTGTAGAAGAATTTGGGGCTGTTATCCTGCCTGCCTGCCATTCACACACTCCAGAGGGCTCTGGGTAGACTGGCAGCTGCACTCCAGTTGAATATGCCCAGCGCCCAGGATTTTGGGAGGTGCCGTTTTAGGTGGTGTCCCTGGGACATCCACAGGCCTCTCGATGTGGGACCAGATGAGTGGACGAGCCAAGCTGGCAGCAAGAAATGGGTCTGGGCTTCTAAGCCCTGGAGTCCGTGTGTCCTTCAGCAAGGCACCCCCAAAGACTTCCTGCTTCTGCACCCACTTTCTCAACAAGGTAACAGTTACAGAATTTCTCTAAGGGCCCAGTCATGAAAAGGAATGTGTAGGCTCATCAAAGGCAGTGGTAAATATGTCACCAGGGAATCTGGCAAGTTATTTAACTTCTCTGACAATGAGTCTTCTCTTCTGAAAAAAAGAAAAGGAATGGTCTCGCCTTCCTCCTAGGGTCGCTGAAAGCTCAACTGGGGGCATTTTTTAGGGCAATGCTCTGTAGGCGTGTGTTACCACCATCATCATGTCCCCTGGCGCCCCCACCTCCTTTTACAGGGCAGGAGGGGAGGCCAGAGAAGGAAGACAATGTGGAGATGGACCACGGAGGCCGGCCAGCACCCACGCCATGTCCTCACCTGCGACTCCCTCCACAAGGCTCTCATGAGGACAGAAGAGGTTTCTGCAGAGGTCACTGAAATGTTTTTCATGATAAAGTGGAAACTGTTAAATACCAAAACCAAGATACAGAACTGAATACTAAGTGTGATCCCAATTGTACTGCTGCTGTTCTCTCAACATTACCCATGTGGGGAAAGGGAGGGTGGCTACTGCCGGCGTTCAAGCTCATGGTGATCACCACAGGGGGGCCATTCCCACTACTCTGTATTTTCAAAGATCCTGCCTACAAAGTACCTGCCACATACTAAGTGCCCAATAAACTGTAGCTATTACTACTTTTATAATCAGGAAAAGAAATCTATTTTAATTCTCTATTAACTTGTCAGGTATCAGACAAAGTAGGCTGCAACGCCCATTGTGTGTACCATGCGCTGGGGAGCCTGCTTACTTCTCAGAGCTATCACACAGCACTCGTGTTTCACACTCAAAACCACTGTCAAACGTGGTGGCCTTTATGGGCTGTTACAGAACTTGAAACTCAGCTGCAAAGAGACGCTGGAGTCCAGGTGCATTCCTTCTATGATCTGACAGTTCAGAGTTAAAAGGGCACCTGGATTTTTAAATTAATAGTGGTTTTTTTGGTCCCTAAATGAAAATAAGGTGGAAGTGAAGTCCTGGCTGCATCTGGCTCTGTCCTTACCAGGTTTAGGTTTTGCCCATGACTAAGGGCGGGACAGGACAGACCAGGGCAATCCAGGGGGGCCAACCACCAGATAACACTGATCTATCTCATTCCTTTTACTCTGGAATCATCATGAAAACCCCTAGAGGAGGCAGAAGTTCCAAAGACTCACAGGAAAATAGGAACCCCTGAGTTGTGAACCATGGGACTAGAGGATCCCATTCAAGACCCATCCAGCACGATGCCCTGGCCCTGGTTTAGTCGCTATGAAGAACAGAGTTAGCACAGCCAGCCCAACCGCTATCTTTTGAAAGACCTGCTTCCAAGGCCGGATCTTGGCTGGTGTCAGGCAACCTGGAACTGGGGAGGGCTCCCACCACCCTAGTTGATAAAAGTGGCTCACTGAGCCTAATCTATGCAAATAACGTGGTTTATGCTGAATACCTGCTTTCCCCCTAGGAGTCTGGAACGCTGGTATGCAGGGGCAGAGGGAGCCTACACGACTAGTTCCTAGTAAAGGCCCTGGGCACTGAGTCTGTACCGAGTTCCCTGCTTTCACGTATCACAGCTCGTTGCTGGGGGAATAAAGTGCATTCTGTGTGACTCCACTTGGGGAGGAATCCAGAAATTTGCACCTGTATTCCCCCAGCCTCTGCCCCACGAGCCCTTCTCTTTGCGGATTTTGCTCTATATCCTGTAATAAATCTCAGCCCCGACAGGACTCTCTGAGGAGTCCCGTGAGCCTCAGGGAATCAGTGTACCTGGGGGTGGTCTTGGGGCCCCTTGACACAGACGTGGTTTGAGAGCTAGAATCCTGGCAGGACACAGTACTCACCACAATGTCTTCCTCAGTGACTCGAGGGTGCAGATTGTTCACGGTCATCTTGGTGCCTTCCAAAGGGCTGAGGACAGGCTGCCAGACAAGACAGTTCCCAGAATCAGACAACAGCTGTGCACTCAGCAGCAGCATGCGAGTGACCAGGAAGGCCCAGAGGAAAGCCCCCTAGGGAGCCTGTCACAGTCATGCCCCACCACAACGCTCAGGGCCCGAAACTCTCTCACCACCTCCGAGATACGCCCGACACTCGCAGGCCTCTGAGCCTCTGCATGGAATGCCAATCACGTGCCAAGACCCACCCAGCTCAGGTGACACCTTCTCCTTAAAGCCTTCCCGACTTGCCCAGTAAATCAAATGCTCTTTCCTCAGTGGTCCCAGCAGCTCTCCTCGGGGCAGACCTCTGTTCTATTCACCAGAGTTGCTCAGTCTGCAGCTCCGTTTCTTCTACTCACCCGCAAGCTTGTCGCTGAGGCTTGGTTTGCTCATTTGTAAAATGGAGGTGGCAATGCCCACCTCACGGAGGTGCTGTGAGGACTCAACAGCGTACACACAACACACAGCCCACCCAGCACAGGCTGACTCTCAACAAGGAGGGGTGCAGTCGCTTCCCCTCCTTCACCTTAGCCTCACCTCAGCAGGTGGGAGCTCTTTCGGGGGCTCCTCCTTGTTCACTAGTGTCCGAGACATGCTGGTCAAGGCTTTTGTTCGAACAGAGGAGGGGAGGGCAGGAGCCGTGTATGCATCATTCTGAACCACTTTGGTGAGAGGGAGGGCCTTAGACATGGAGAACTTGGAACTGCTCAGTCCGGCCTAAACAAAGAGGCAGATAGGAATCTGAGAAGCAAGAGAAGAAGGCAAGAGAGAAGCCCTATGGGGCCGACAACCCCCACCCCCAAGGCCTCCCAGCTCCCCAACTCCATTAGAGATCTGGAGCCAAAAAGGCTGCCTGTGACTTCCCCCAAGGAAGGGGCTGGAGGGGAGAAACGCAGTCTGCCCACGTGCTCACAGAAGCCACGCTCCAGTGCAGGAAACCCCTGGGGAGAAACTTCCATGCAGGCCTGACCTTGAGCCACAGGCCTACCCAGACCACTGAAATTTTTTGAAAACCTACGATTTGGGGCTAAGCAGAAGGCCAAAAGCTTAGAGTCAAGTTCATTCCCAGATATGTTTCTATCACAATGGGCTGATCATCAGCTCTGAGCTGGCCTGGCAGAGGAACCCACCCTTCAGAAGGTCTAGACTCCCAGCTTCTTGGTTCCCGTTTCTGCCACACGGAGGCACCATGCGTAGCCCTGGCCTGCCTGGCTCCCAGACCGCGAGGGACATGTTGGCAGAGTCGCCGTGCAAGCCAGCAGAAACCGTTCCCTCCCTCCCCTGCCCTCCCTAACCGGGGATGGGGTCCTTTGGAAATATAAACAAGGAAACTCCTTGGTATGAATGTATCTGAAGAAAAACACGTATGAGGCAGAAACGGCGGGTGACCTTGCTGACTGAAGACCGTGCCCCCAAGGTACTGACTCAGGAAGAAGGGAGGGCTGCAGCCGCCAGAGGGGCAGAGTATGGGGCAGGGTTGGTGCACCAGCTTCTCCGAAGCAAATGAAACATCTTCCTGGGCCCCACATTTCTTAAACTGCTTTTTGATTACTGACGGCCAGTACAGTATGGTACACGCGGCCTGGGAGCCAGACTGTGTAAACGTGACTCTTAGATCCGCTACTTATAAGCTGGGTGATACTGAACATATTTTAACCTCTCTGGGCTGATCCCTCACCTGTAAAATAGGACTAATAACAGCACCCACCTTACTGGGTAGGAGAGTAGGGCAGTCTTAAATTAGGTAACACAAATACCGCATTCTTTCAAGTAGAGTGAGCCAGGAACTGAGCCAGCTGACCGCTCCCCTGGCAGCAGACCTTAGCAGTTCAACCATGCAAAGGCCCAGCCCCTTCCAAACCATTCCGCTTTAAGAACTTCAGCGGTAACCAGGAAACTGGGCCATTCACTCAATGCGGTGACAAAAACAGAGTCTTTGGGCCTCTGAAGGCCAAACAAAGGCACTTGGCTCAGTGCCCCCTGGCTGCCCTCCCTGTCACGGGCTATACCCGCTGCTGCTGGCCACCCTGACGGTCCCAGATACTGCTCTCGTTCCTTCTCTGAGTGGGATCTGCCCAGCAGCCTAGTCTAGTCTAGCAAGCTTGCCCGGCATGCAGGCTGCACCCGGTGGAGTGCACACGAAAGGTGCAGCTTACTCCTGCTAACACACCGACTGAGGGGATCCGGTGTCAAGAACGGGCCAGAGCTGCTGACCATGGAGGGAAGAGGACATGCAGAACGTCCTGCCACAAAGGAAAGAAAAGGCGATTCCCTCCTCTGGGACCTCACATTTCCCCTGCAGGGTCTCAAACAGCAAGCGGAAGCTGCAGCCCTGCACCTTACTAGCTGTGGGGCCTCAAGCACAGCACTGGACCCCCTGGTCTCAGCATGTATAAGCCAGGGGTTGCATTAGCAGTTCTGAAATTCTTATGACCCACATGAAGAAAGATTTCTGAATTGAAAGGCCGTACTCTCCACCACCTCGCCCATCCACCGGACCAGATACACATGGTGAGTGGAAGGAAAACATAAAATGTCTTACCACGTGGTGAAGAAAGCCACCCGAGGCTGCAAATTTCATCTGTTTACTAGGAATGGGAGCTACAGAGTCATCATCATCTTCCAAATCATATAAATTCTGAAAAGAAAAAAAAAAGCTAACGTGGCCTGCAGGCCCTCAGAAGACATTTGGAGCAAGAACAGCAAGACACATGGAGCCAGTAGCTGGAGGGAGACGCGGGTGGGGGGCAGGGGAGGACCGGGGGAGACCGGCCTGGGAGTCAAATCCTCACAGGCCGGCTCTCCACCCACAAGGGCCCAACAAAAGTGCTGCAACCTCCACGTACACGAGAACTACCTTTCCACAAGCAGGCAACACCTAGAAACACCTTAAAACATGTGTTTATAATCTTGGTTTAGAAAGTTCATCCTTGGCAGTCTGGCCTACAGAAATAAATCCAAACCCCAGAAAGAGCTTTAGCCACAAAGATGTTCACAGAAGGATTTCTAACAGTGAAAATTAGAGGAAAATGGCTTAAATAAACTGGAACATCAACTCAATGGATTATACAGTTATTAAAAATGTTTAGAGTAAATGTGAATCACAGAAGTGCTTAAGTTATAAAGTGAAAACAAAAGGACACAAAATTGGATAATAATATAATAGGGTGCCTGGGTGGCTCAGTTGGTTAAGCGACTGCCTTTGGCTCAGGTCATGATCCCGGAGTCCCGGGATCGAGTCCCACATCGGGCTCCCTGCTCGGCGGGCAGTCTGCTTCTCCCTCTAACCCTACCTCCTCTTGCGCTCTCTCGCTCACTCTCTCTCTCTCAAAAAAAAAAAAAAAAAATCTTTAAAAAAAAAAAAAAATATAATAATACGCACACAACTACGACTAGGCATTAACTCAATAATAATGACACTTAAAAACACAAAAAACCAAGAAGGAGCCAGGGCAGAATTTCAACAGCAGCTGGCTTTGGAGAGCAGGAGCACAAGAACTCTTTTTTCCTTCTTTTTCTTTCTCTGTTTTGCAAGTGTTCTATATTAAGCACACACTACTTTATTTTTATTTATTTTTAAAGATTTTATTTATTAATTTGAGACACAGAGATAGAGAGAGAGCATGAGCAGGGGGAGAGGCAGAGTTGAGAAGCAGGCTCCCCGCTTAGCCAGGAGCCCGATGTGGGGCTCGATCCCAGGATCCTGGGATCATGACCTGAGCCGAAGCCAGACGCTTAACCATCTGAGCCACCCAGGCGCCCCAAGCACACACTACTTTAATAACAAAAAATAGAAGACTTTCAATTTGCCTCTCTGCCCCTTGCATACCCAACCCCCCACTGTAAGTTTATTTTTATTTTTTTTTTTAAACTCATAAACTGCAGGGGCTCCTGGGTGGCTCAGTTGGTTGAGCGTCCGACTCTTGGTTTCAGCTCAGGTCATGATCTCAAGGTTGTGGGCTCTGGCAGGGAATCTGCTTGGGTTCTCACTCTCCCTCTGCCCCTTCCCCCGTTCGCATGCACTCTCTAAAATAAATCTTTGAAAAAATAAAAATAAAAGTAAATAGATGCCTGGGTGGTGCAGTCAGTTAAGCGTCTGCCTTGGGCTCAGGTCATGACCCCAGGGTCCTGGGATCGAGTCCCACATCGGGCTCCTTGCTCAGTGAGGAGCCTGCTTCTCCCTCTGCCACACCCCCTGCTCATGCTCTCTCTCTGACAAATAATAAAAATTTTTAAATAAAAAAAAAATAAGTAAAACTAAAAGTAAATAAAAGTAAATAAAACTCATAAACTGCAAAAACCCAAATGTAATCCCTCCAATTCCTCACACTGGGAACCTTGGGCCAGGCCTCATTAATCCACCTAGCGGAGCTCCTCAAAGCACACGCCCGTGTACACATACACACCGTACGCACACTCACGCCCACATACTCACGTTCTCACTCTCTCACCTGTTTGGCCGGGTGGTTATTGACAACATTGATCCTCATTCCAGCAGGATGGGTGTGCAGCGGTGCCATGACCTTCTGCTGGGGGACCTAGAAACACACAGAGATCGTGATTCATCTCCGGGGGTCCACACATGTTCTCCACGAGAAAGGAATCACTGAACCTGAAATATGGTGGCCCTCAGCTGTGGCCTGTGGTGACCTCCAGAGTGCCTCGTGCCCAAAGCAGGAGCGACAGGAAGCCTCGGCATCCTGCTCAGTGAACCTGGCTCAGTAAATGTTCGCCACCGCTGCTGTTCCTGTTCCCGAAGTCGCCGTGACCGCTGAATGCTGTCTGCATCCCCTCTGGTGGCTGTGCAAGCGCCCAGTGCCCTGGATGAGGGGCCGGGTCTGACTAGGCTCCTGCCCCGGGCCTCCCACGGACGACTGTGTTAACTCTGGGCACAGTAATTCACAGCCCTGAGACCCAGAGTCTTTTATAAAACTGGGGTAATGGTCCCAGAGTTGCGGTGAGAGATACATTAGGTCCTATGTGTGAAGTGCCTGCCACACAGCACACGCCCCACGAGTATCTTGTCTTTTCCCCTCTTCCCTGCATCGCTAACTCACTGGAGAAAGTCACTTTTTCTGGAGCCCCCTTTCTTCTCCATAAAACTAGATTAAAACCTTGCCTCCCTCATACAGTTACTGTACAAACACTTGGGAGAACTGTCATTTTGCCCCAACACTCTGGGCCCCCACTCCCTGCCTGAATCCACAGTTGTTCCTGGCTCCCCAGGAACATATGGCAAGAGTCACACCTACCTGGATGGTTTTGGTGAGCTTCAGGGCAGGGGTCACTGTCCCGATGGGTGGGCTCAGGAAGGTGGCTGGGGAATTCCGCTTCAAGCTGATCTTCTCGCGGGCATCGGCCACCTGGCGGGGCTTCGGGGGCGCCGTGCTCTGCTGCTTGCGCGAGTTCAGCATCTCTCTGGCATCCTGCACTTTCCCTTTGATCCGGAACCGAGCATCTTTTTGCAAAAGCTTTTCCCGGGCATCCTTAACTCCCAGCTTGAGCCGGGCGTCCGAGAGGCCAATCTTCTGCCGGGCATCAAATCTCTGCTGGAAAGTGGCAGTGCGGGCTGGCTGGCTGAGGAGGCTCTGCTGGATCCCGACACGAGATCGAACACCTCCGACTCCTGGTCTGGCGTTGAGACTGCAAGTAAAAACGGCAATATTAAGCGGATCTGGGTTATCAATAGTACCCCATGGAAGTAGAGCCGTCGTAATACTGGGAACAGGGGGGAGTTCCTGGAGAAACCAGAAATCTACTCGCTGTCTGAGGAAACAATTAAACCTATATTGAAACTTCTTTCCTAGTTTATGGCTTTTAACTTTGCCTTGCAAAGAAAATTAGGAAGAAGGGCCTGGTGGTTTCTGTCACTTAGGTAAGACTGTTTTGCTCCCTAGACCAGGTGTTCTGAGACACCATTAGGGACAATAACCTACAAATGATGCTAGTCAAAAAAAAAAAGCATATCCCCAAATATCCTAATCCCACACACCTGAAGAGCAACTTCAGTTTCCAAAGTTCTTCCACAGCCGTGCTCTCAGTCATCCCCCAGCACTCTGTGAGGTGGGCCAAACAGGCCTGGAGAAGAAATGATTAACGAAAGTGCCCAGCATGCCCCTGGCAGCCCAGGCCTCCGGTGCCGGCAGATGCCCCCCTGGGCTGGGAGTGGAAGCTAGTCCGCTAACAGACCAAAGACACAAGGACTTGGTAGGAAAGAAAAAGTCACTGAGTGGTTTCCAAACACCAAACGTGTGGGTATTTCCCTCACATCAACTGTTCTTGAACTCTCTGGACACCACCTGGGTGTCCTACAATTCAATCTGACACTACCTACCCAGAGTCAGCACAAGAGACTCCCCTCACTTCAGATGCCAGTCCCAAGTCCTGGGCTTCCCACACTTCTGACAGACTAGCTAAAATTGAGGGGACCCACACCCCCTCAAGTTCGAGAATGAATTTGCTAGAATGGCTCACAGAACACAGCAAAAATAGTTTACTTACTAGTATCAGTTTATTATAAAGGATACAATTCAGAAAACAGTCAAATGGAAGAGAGGCATAAGGTACAGGGGAAGGGGTGTGGAGTTTCCATATCCTCTCTGGGTGCACCACCCTCCCAGCACGTAGCTGTGTTCACCAACCCAGAAGCTCCCCCAAATTCCATTGTATAGGGGGTTTTATGGAGGTCCCATTATGTAAGCAAGGTTGACTGAATCACTGGCCATTGATGACTGATTCAATCTCCAGCCCCTCTCCCCTCCCTGGAGGTTGGGGGTTAGGGAGTGGGGTAGGGCTCCAAGTTCCAACTAATCATGCCAAGGTCTTTCTGGCAACCACCCCCATCCTGAAACTATCCAGGGGCCCATCAGGCATCACCTCATTAGAACATAAGATGCTCCTATGTAACTCAGGAAACTCCCACGAGTTTTAGGAACAGTGTGCCAGGAACCAGGGATAAAACCAAGTATGTATTTATCACACTCACCACCACCAAGAATGTCAAATTCAGAAACTGTTAAGATTGGAAATGAACTAAACTCCATTAAACAGGCCCCATTTGCTTGTGGGGTTCCTTTGTTGGCCCTTCAGTGGCTTGTGAGGAAAGCGAAGACCATTCCAAGTACAATCCTGGAAGTCCTTCCTGGTGTCCGCAGGCTGCTCCCTCGCTCCACCTGCCCACCATACCACGAGGCCGCTCTACCCCGGCCTCTCGCAGCAGGTGCCCTGCCTGGGGACTCCGGCTCCCAAGGCAACATCTCCTCTTGGGGAAACCCTCCCTCACTGATTCTTCCAGGACAACCCTCCTTTGTGCCTGTCTACATCTGCTTGTTTTCTCTTCCCCATTGGACTGGGAAGAGGCAGAATGGGCCCAGTGCTTTGTAAGTGGTGTTGAACCCTGACTGAGCATTAGAAACTCCTGTGGAACTGCTTAAAAACACAGCTGTCCAGACCCCACCCCACAGCTACTAAATCTAAAATCTGGGTGAAGGCCTGGGCATCTGCACTTTTGACTCCACAAGCGATCCTGGATGACGGCAGTGTTCAGAATCTCTGACCTGGTGTTAGAAGGCAAAACTCTACCGAACAAGTTCCTATACGGTTTCCCACATCTGTGTCCAGGCCTCCCTAGAGGCCTCCTGCACACTGGGCAAGTCAGCGGGTGCTCCTACTGCCTCACCCTTCCCCAACTGATTGGAGGGAGACTATCCACCAGCTCCTGTGCGAACAGCAGGAGCACAGCCAAGGTACCAGTAAAGGCAAATCTGGACCTTCATCTTGTTATCCTTTGACCAGTGGAAACACCTGCTGTCCCCAGTATGCTAGAGGACTGCCTAAGGCAGCGATGCACGTACCAATTTTCTTTGAAAAATGGCAAATTACTTTAGGATTTAATTACTTTCCAATGGGTCTACACAAGAACTGGGTGGAAGAGAGAGGGAAAGGGTTATTTGCAGAATTGGTCAGTTAAGTTTAAGGTGGGGGTGGGGGTGGGGTGCCCTACTTGTTGGTCCCTGTCCTATTTTCTCCTGTAAAGGAATGGGTTTAAAAACAAAACAAAAGGCAAGGCCAAAAGGAATGGGGTGTTTAGGGAGTTCAGGAAGCACAATTAGGGAGACGGCAACAAGTGCATGTGGCAGAGCCCACCCGCCCCTGGAGCGGCCCACCTCGGTTCATGGTCTGCAAGGTCTTGACAATCGTGGGGCTATGCTCTGTAGTGGCGCTGAAACCCACCGCTACTTGAGGGGCCCCTGGAATTGATGAAGGGCACACAAACTTCTTAATAAAGCCCAACCCCCAGGGCCAAGTAGCAGGCGAAGTAACCCCACTGATTGGTTTAAGTGCTTTCAGCTCCCTACATCTGTTGATGATGCCCATCAAAGAAATGCAACAAGGGCGCCTGGGTGGCTCAGTCGTTAAGCGTCTGCCTTCGGCTCAGGTCATGGTCTCAGGGTCCTGGGATCGAGCCCCGCATCGGGCTCCCTGCTCAGTGGGAAGCCTGCTTCTCCCTCTCCCACTCCCCCTGCTTGTGTTCCCTCTCTCGCTGTGTCTCTGTGTCAAATAAATAAAATCTTTAAGAAAAAAAAAAAAAGAAATGCAACAGGCTAGCAGTTCAGCCCAGGAGCTACTACTGAAGGCCTACTCGTAAAATGCGGAAAAGGATTTTTTTTTTTTTTTAGATTTCACCCGTTTATTTGACAGAGAAAGACACACAGCGAGAGAGGAAACACAAGCAGGGGGCGTGGGGGAGGGAGAAGCAGGCCTCCCGCGGAGCAGGGAGCCCAATGCGATGGGGCTCTATCCCTAGGACGCTGGGATCATGACCTGAGCTGAAGGCAGACGCTTAATGACTGAGCCACCAGCCGCCCCGGGAAAAGGATTTTGATCAACATTTACCGTCCAGATCCGGACAAAACCAGAGTCAGTGGAAAGCACTCCAGATAAAACTATTCACTTACCACGCACGGGGCCTCTCTGAAGCCAGAGGCCTTGGGCTGGGAAATCAAGTCACCACAAAGAGCATGGTAGGAGCACTCTTGTTCCAGGAGGGGGAGGCCCAAAGCCTCTGGGAACCCTGCATACAACCAGACGCCCGTAGGGCTGAGAGGGCTGGGGAGAGCTGAGTGTGCCCCAGGCCCTGGGAACAACACCCCACGGCCCACAGCTTGCAGCCTCCTGGCTCTCGAAGCTCTGGTGGGCGCCTCCTGCCCTCAAGAGCGTTCCCTCATCTCCCTTAGCACTTCCACAGTCCGAGGCGCCCTCCCTGGGGCAGTGGAACCTTGGACACAAGTACCGCAGAGGCGCTCACTGTGCTGAATCCCGAGGCTCTGTTTCCAAACCTGTACCTTGTGCAGGACGAGGAGCCTCTCAGGGGCACACCCTGCATCTCCCCGCCTGGGGCAACCCTGCGGTGCAGCCCTGCATCGGGTGGATGGAAAAAAGGCTCGAAGAGCTTTCCGCTCCTGAGCACCCGCTAAGTGCCAGGGACCCTACAGGGCCCCCCTCCCCCAGAACTCCTCCTTTCACCCTCCCACCCGTGAGAATGAGGCTGTCGAGCACATGTGACAGGTGAGGAGGCTCTGCTGAAGGCCGCCCTGGGCTTGCCCGTATCCAGTTAGAGCGCATGGGTCAAAAATAATGACCAGAACTTGAAGAGTTAAAGAGGGGGTGTGCTGTCCCCAGGCTGAGGAACAGCTCACGCTCACAGCCACACGGAGGGTGAGAACAGGTCTATCTGGGGGTGGGAGGGGACGTGGCCGGGGAGGCAGGAGCACGAGGAAGCTACTTCCCAGGTTACACCAGTTCCTTCAACCCCTTTCATGAACAGCTCTAGCAGCCTCAGTGCTCAGGCTTTTCATCATCACTGCTCCTCCTCCCGCATGAAGAGACGGCTGTTCATCCCAGCAGGCAGCAGCGCCGGGGACAAGGCAGGCATTAGTCATCAGGAATTTTTCAAATAAACACTCCTGCTAGGAGTGGGTCTCCAAAACAGAGAGTTCGTGGTGTTACCCTCCTGTTCTAAGAACTGATGAGGGCTTCCTAACAAAGCCCAAGCCCTCGGCAGAGCCTCTGGTCTGGCCCCAGCTTCTGCCCGCAGCCTCACCTCCCACTGCACACTCTCTGATGTTCCCGAAACACATTCTGCACATTGGGCCTCAACGTTGGGGAGAGGGGCGGCGGAGGCGTGGAACAAGGCTCTGCACTGCCCCACACGGACACAATGCACCCCCGCCCTGCTTCCAGGGCCCCGCTAGGTGCTCCACGGGGTCCTGGGAAGAGCACTGTGGGTGAGAGAGCCAGGGTCCCCACTGGAACCTCACACTCTCTGCCAGGCCCCGACCACAGCTGGCTCTGGACAGATGTCCAGTCTGAAGGATCAGGCCTTTGAGGGGGGCCCCGGATTACTATTATAAAGTGGATTTTAATCCATGGGGTCTTTGGGTTAGAGTTACGTGTACTGAGGTCACCTTTACAAGGAGAAAACACAGATTAGTTCTGTTACAGAGAGCCAACCCTGAATTAGGTGCTTCACAGACACGTCCCCTTACCCTCCAAGAGTCTTGTGCAGATGTTTTAAATCCCATTTCTTCCCCTCCAAGTTACGTAACAACTAATTTTCCTCCCCTGTGTTTTAGGTCTACATTTCCTTTATCTTACTTCAACAAGGAAACAAGCAGTGAGTACCAGGACCAGAGCCCTGCCCTGAACTGAAAAGTTGACCAACCCCCTTCCCCACGGCTCCAAGGACTCCCCAGACAGGGCAGCTGGGCCAGAGCTGCTCAAACCCACCACACCCATGGTCCGACCTTCCTACGAAGGCTGCCTGCCACCTTAGATGAACCTTCTCTAACTAGGAGGTGGCAGTGGACAGACAGCAATCTTCTGAGAGCTCAACAAATCAAACCACAGTGGGTGACTTTGCAAACTTGACCAGCAGTACGCTCACAGCTTCAGGAAAAAACCGACAAGAACAGGCCCGCACTGCAGGTGGTGCCCCGTGCTGTCCTGGGGAGACTCATCCATGGGTCCTGGGCATGGAGGAGAGCGCCTCACCCAGCTGAGTGAAGTATCACTCAAAACTCTCCCTTTCTGTATTTTCACATTAATCATCGAAATCTTTTGATGATTAACTGGGGCCCAGGTAATAATAATGACAACGACCCCTTTCTTGACTTACATGGTGTGATGAACACAAAACCGAATGGCTGCTCTGAAGAACAAGCACATTCCATGACCTGTGGGCAAACAGGTTATTTACACTTCCACAGTTTCTTCTGCTATTTTGACGAAGAGGAAGAAAGTTTTTGGAGATCATCACTGGTTCTACTTAAATGACCAAGCACAAAGTTCCTCCTGGGACCTCCATGCAATGCCATTCCCTCATTCCCAGGAAGGGCAGAGTTCTTCCAGGAAGCATGTAAGACAGAATATGCTTACTGTAGGAAATTAGCTTAGACCTTTCAGTTCTTGACAGGGATGCCCTGGATGTAGTCTTCATTGTCCTTG